CTCTTATGCGATGGATGATTGTTAAAATAAAGAATCCCTGGGTTTGTAACAGACCTTTTGTATCTAATGCTTAGCTTGCAACATCCAAGGCATCTTTAATCAGGTGGAATTTGACACAACTCGTGAACGTAGACTAGCAGACACCCTCCTGATTTCTGTTATAAGAGAGGGACTTCAGATTCCCTTTGTTTCGGGCTTGACTTCGATGAATACTGAATGAAAGAGCACCTGTCCTTACCCTTGCCCAAGCAGCGTTTAATCTTACACACTAATCTCGAGTCTGACACATTGGCGAGTCTTCAAACCAGTAGCTTTTAGTCATTTCTCCGCCGCCCCAGAGCCAACGACCAACGATTAGCATAGAAGGGAAAGAAAATGAAAAAAAAATCGTAAAAAGGCTGATTCAAGTATCCTGTGCTAACATGTACATACATATATCTTTAATGAAGTCATCATGTTCACAGTGTGTTAATAAAAGGAATTTATAATCACGTGATGTTCAATATATCATCTATTTCCTCGAATAAACATGGTACAAATATACGGAAACAGCATTAAACCAAAGAACGGTTTCACGTGTACATAAAAATAAACTGATTATGCAATTAGGTCAAATCAAATATCATCAAAGTTACCTGGAAATTAAATTAATCATACATTTTTCCTGCAAAAGTTGATAATGAATCAATTAAAAAGGGGCACTGTTAAGACAATATACTCGTACTCGGAAGCGAAAAAAGGCGGGGCGAGAGAGAGGGAAAGTGGAGAGGGGGAGGGAAGGAGGGAGGGAGGGAGGGGGAAGGAGGGAAGGAGGGAGGGAGGAGGGAAGGAGGAAGGAGGGAAGGAGAGGGAGGGGGAGGAGAGGGAGAGGAGAGAGAGAGAGAGAGAGAGAGAGAGAGAGAGAGAGAGAGAGAGAGAGAGAGAGAGAGGGGGGGAGAGAGAGAGAGAGAGAGAGAGAGAGAGAGAGAGAGAGAGAGAGAGAGAGAGAGAGAGAGAGAGAGAGAGAGAGAGAGAGAGGGGGGGGGGAGAGAGAAGAGAGAGAGAGAGAGAGAGAGAGAGAGAGAGAGAGAGAGAGAGAGAGAGAGAGAGAGAGAGAGAGAGAGAGAGAGAGAGAGAGGAGGAGGGGGGGGAGAAAAAGAGAGGGAGAGGGAGAGGGAGAGGGAGAGAGAGAGGAGGAGGCAGGGAGGAGAGAGAGAGAGAAAGGGAGAGAAAGAGAGAGAGATACGGGGGAGGGGGAGGAGGGAGAGAGAGAGAGCAGTAAAAAAGGGAGAAAGACAGAAAGGGAAAGGGGATTAAAAGAAACAGAAGGGGAGAAAATCTTAAAATATATATATATATATATATATATATATATATATATATATATAATTATATATATAAAGGAGAAAGACCTATAAATAGAATGAAAGCAAGGGAGAGAGAAGAGAAAAGAGCAAAAACATGGAGAAAAAGGCAAATTTAAAGAGAAAAAGGGAGACAGGTGACAAAAAAAAAGACAAAAGGGAGAGAGAACAACAAAAGTTAAGAGAAAAGGAGAAGGAACGATAAAAGGAGAGAAATGGAGAGTGAAAGACAAAAAGGGAGAGAGAACGACGAAAAGAATCAGAAACGGGGAGAGAACGATAAACAGAGAGAATACTAAAGGGAGAAGGGGAGAGAAATTTATAATAAGAGATGGAGAGAAAACAATAAATAAAGAAATGGAGATAGAGCACCAAAAAAAGAGAGAAAGAGAGAACGACAAAAAAAGAAGTAAAAGAAAGAGAAACAAAAAAAAGAAGAAATATTGACAAAAAAGGAAGAGTAACTAAATGAGAGAGAGAAAGGGAGACAGGATGGCTATGAAAAAAAAACAAAGGGAACAAAAAGACAAAAAGAATGAGAAAAATGGAGAACATCAAAAAGAGAGAAAGGGCGAGAGAAAGACAGTAAGAAAGGAAGAGAGAACGACAAACGGAGAGGGAGAGAGAACAACAAAAGAGAGAGAACGACAAAAAGAAAGAAAAAGGAAGAGAGAACGACAAAGAGAATGGGAGAGAGAACGACGAAAAGAAACAGAGAAAGGGAGAAAGAATGAGATAATGGGAGAAGAAAGATAAAGGGAGAACGAGAAAAAGAACCTGAGAAAGATAAAACAATGAGAAAAGGCAGAGAACGACAAAAAGAATAAGAATAAGAGAAAGGGAGAGAAAACGACGAAAAGAAAGAAAGGGGAGAGAGAACGACAAAACGAATGAGAGAGAAAGAACGACAAAAAGAATAAGAGAAAGAACGACAAACAAAATGAGAGAACGACAAAAAGAATAAGAGAAAGGGAGAGAACAACAAAAAGAAAGAAAAGGGGAGGGAGAACAACAAAAAGGATGAGATAAAGGGATATAAAACGACAAAAAGAAAGGGAGAGGGAGACAAAATGACAAAAAGAAAAAGGGAAGTAGAACGACAAAAAGAATGAGAAAAGGGAGAGAGAACGACTAAAGAAAGAAAAGGGGAGAGAGAACGACGAAAAGTGAGAGAAAGGGAGAGAGAACGACAAAAAAGATAGAGCAAAGGAAGAGAGAAAGTCAACAAGAAAGAGAAAAGGAGAAAGAACGAAGGAAAGAACGAGAATACCAAAAAGAGAAATGGAAAGGGAAGGATCAAAAGCAAGAGAAAGGAATATAATGAAATAGAAGGAAGAGAGAAACACATAAAGAGAAAGAAAGAGAGAGAGAGAGAGAGGAGAGAAAATGAGGGAGAAAGGAGAGAGGGAGGGAGAGAATGAGAGAGATCGAGAGAGGGAGGAGAGAAAATGAGGGAGAATGGAGAAAGAAAGAGAGAGAGAATGAGCGAGATTGAGAGAAAACAGAAAATGAAGGAGGAGCGAGAGATAGGGAGAGAAAGAGAGAGAGGGGAGGGAGAGAGAGAGAGAGAGAGGAGAGAGAGAGAGAGAGAGAGAGAGAGAGAGAGAGAGAGAGAGAGAGAGAGAGAGAGAGAGAGAGAGAGAGAGAGAGAGAGAGAGAGAGAGGAGAGAGAGAGAGAGAGGAGAGAGAAGAGAGAGAGAGAGAGAGAGAGAGAGAGAGAGAGAGAGAGAGAGAGAGAGAGAGAGAGAGAGAGAGGGGGGGGGGGGAGAAAGGGACGATAAGAACGAGAGAAGGGGAAATAAAATTATAAGAGAGAAAGGGAGAGACAAATGGGGGAAATGGGACAGAGAGAGCGACGAAAAGAAAAACAAGAGAAGTGGCAACGACAGAAAGACAAAAAAGAGAAAATAAGAGAGAACGGCAAAAAGAGAAAGACAATATAAAGAGAAAATCGAGAGAGAAAAGGCCAAGGAGAAAGAGTAATGGGAAGAGAGCGACAAAAAAGAGAAGAGAAAGGGAACATCATCAAAGGGGCTAACGCCGACGGGGGCGCATAGATGCATCCACCCTTCGTTTCCACCTACGAGGATCCCTCATGGCAAGACGCCAGGCAGGGACTCGGCCCATCTCCGAGTTTTTCATGACAGGTTTGGTCGATCTGGCCAAGCCACGACTTCCTAGGTCGTCCCACAGGCCTCCTCCACCCTGGATTGTCTCGAACACGTTTCGAGACGACCTGATGAGCAGGATCATCCTGAGGAAAGCGAGCCAGGTGGCCATATAGCCTGAGTTGGCAATCCCGGATTGTGCAGATAACAGGCCCTGTGCCAGTCTCACGGTGCAACCGTTGGTTGGACACATGGTCCGGCCAACAGTACCCCATGATCCAGCGCAAGGACCTATTGCAAAAGGCTTCAAGACGAGCCTCCAAGGCACAGGATATGTCCAGATTTCACTACCATATAGCAAAACTGGCATTATCAGGGCCTTGAAAACCCGTGGCCCTTCTGCACAGGTACTGACATCTCCAAATACTCTTGTCGAGAGAGTTCATGACTCCTGCTGCCAGGCCAATCTGTCTGCTGACTTCCTGGTCTGACAGCCCAGAGGTATGAACTACACTACCAAGGTATATAAAGCTCTCTGTGACTTCAATGTCCCCGCCGCAAGACCGACAAAACAGGTTCTCCTAGCAAGTCCCCAAAGTCCTGGACCTTGGTCTTGGTCCAGGAGACCTCCAGACCCAAGGGTTTTGCTTCATTGCTAAATGCATCGAGAGCCACCACTAAGGATTCCAAAGATTCAGATAGAATGGCAACATCATCATCAGTCCATGCAAGTGTTGAAAAGAGTTGGTGCAAGGACACAGCCTTGCCTCACTCCTGAACTAACAGGAAAGAAGCTCGACAGGCCCCCACCACACTTTACAGCACTTTCAGTACCAATATACTGGTTTGTTATTAGTCCAAAAATCGTTGGAATTCCTCTCAGTCTCAGGATCTCCCAATGCACCGTATTGAACACCTTCTTGAAGTCAACGTAGGTTGCAAGCAGCCCACGCCCGAACTCATGGAGGCGTTCTACAATGACTCAAAGCACAAGGATACGGCCTATTGTGGACTTAACCAGGAGTGAATCCAGATTGTTCCAGTCTGTGATGCCTCAGTAGGTGACCTCTGATACGTCTCAGAAGCATGTGGGCAAGAACCTTGCCTGGTATACTGAGCAGTGTGATGCCTCGGTGATTGCTGCTGTCCCAACGGTCCACCTTCCTAAAAGCTACACGAAAGGAATCCCCTACAACCTGGCAGTGGGAAGACTGACTGGGCATGCGTGATGCACTATCTGAAGCCCCCTGGGAAGAAATCCTCACTGGCACTGTTGACAGACAAGTAATGGCAGTAACCAAATTACCTGTCAGCCTACAAGTAATGTATGTACCTAACAACACATACAAGACAAAATCCACGGTTCATATTTTTGTATATATAGAATTGTATGTATCTATGCATGTATGAATATAGTAATATATATATATATATATATATATATATATATATATATATATATATGTAGAGGGAAAGAGATCACACACATACATATTCATATTTATGTCTCACAAAAAAAAAAAAAATCCAGCATTTCGTTATATTTTCATAAGACATGATAGAAATTTGTTACAATCCAGTAAAACATTCATCAATCATTATTCATAAAAAAATCGATCCAATGTTAAATGTAATTTTACATAAGGCTAGTAAGAGGTGTGTTTGTATATTGGTAACATTTGTTATCAAATATTTATTATGTTTTGTTGCCATTGAGGAAAATAGCCATAATGATGGAATTATGCATTTTCATTCAGATTTCGTACTTGAAGATGTGTTAGAGATCATTTGATTCATGAAAAAATTAAACTTGCTGAGTGATTTACATCAAGTGTTTCCGCACCTCTATGCATTGGCAAAGGCCAATCCTTATTTACATTAGTCATGTTTTTTTTTCGGTTACTATGCATCCTCAGTAGGTTGCTCTTGCACATTTATTGATTTCCACATGGCAAAGTGACATTTACACACTCCTGAAGGTATTTATGAAACTGATATGAGCTGAGGAGGGTCGCTACGATAAGCGTCACGAGGTTTC